CTTCGTGTCCACACAAAAACGACGAATGAGGTCGTTTTTTTTCAGCGGTTGGCTTAATGTTACCCTAACAGATCGTTTGAGTGTGAAAGTTTGTTATTTTTCCCCTGATTTGTAGGAAACTGTTTCTCAACTTGTCTATTTAGTTTCTAGCAGTGTTCAAGAAGGTTAACCTTATATAATAAATATTGGTGGATTAATCGCATTTATAATATTATCACACCAGCTGACTGTGGCAATTTTGGGGCTCAAATCATTCAGGGGAATCCAGACATGTACCAGCCTGAGAATGTGTAAAACATTCTATGTCGCCTAATGCAATATAGACTCGCCAAGAATAGACGCGATCACGATTCAGCGCCAGCAAGATTCGAAGGCCAATTGTTTAGTCAAAACCCAAGCAGTGAGCCAATTCGCTAGCGAGTTGAAAATTAGCTGCCCCAATACTTCTGAGACTTGCTGTAAACACAATTTAGCAGACAAAGTGAAATTAAGCCAATTAATGTTTTCATCCATTAAATGGCACCCAATTCGATATTTTAAATTTATTGCAATATTAATAATCACACATTTTTGTATTAAATGTGCATCAACGTATACAAAGTATTTAGAAAATGTTTATATTCAATTGCTTCTTTTTTTATTAAAGTTGCTTTTTCACATTGCAAAACTGTGTCAGGTTCCCCACCACTCTATACACCAGCAAACACTGGGAATATAGCTTGGTTGATATGTTGATGCACAAAAAACTTATTTTTATTATACCCACCTATATTATTAATATGAGACATAATTAGATGCAATTTGGATATATGTTGGTTTCGAGAGGAAGATGAGCTTTCATTAATCAAAGTGAAAGCTAAAATGTTAAGTTACGCTATGATTGTACCGGTACTGTAGTTATCCACTACAATATCAAATCTGGATGCAGCACCCTCAGTTTTAAATGACAATGTAAACGAGCACAATATTTTTTTTTTAAATATATTCCTATATTCCTTTTAATGAACAGTCTAACCCGGACTTATCTGTGACTCTATCTGATATTGGGCAAGCATTTTTTGCAGTGCAATGCGATCATTATTAATAGTGCAGCGTGCAAGTTTTTTTTTTTACACAAGGGGGTGCACGTGAATATTTGCAAGAAACTGCACAAGGTGAAAATAGAATCAATACTCATTATCTGTTAACTGCAAAAAATATTTTCAACTTCAAAAAACTTAAATTATTGATATGCACAAGATAAAAGATTTCCACAGCCAGTCAAATATTTAATGGTTAATAAATGATTAACTTTATTAACCAATCAGAGCCATGGCACTGGAGAAAAAAGCTTCAAAGTGATCTAGCTCAGTTGCAAAATACAAGAAAACAGACGCCGTTTCTTAAATTATATGCATGAATATGTACACAGAATTACACAACAAAATGCGATAAATTGCAGGCAACTAAAACAAGCATACTTACACATAACAAGCAGAGTCAATAATGGTTTATAATATATTCGTGACGACATCAATGTTGGAAGGGATCGGTGAAAAAAGAAAAATGGTGAGCATTCAGGAATACGACTACGTGAACGTGAACGGGAATAACACAGAACAGGAAACTATATATACTAAATGCAACACAGTGAAAGGTAATATTTATGAAATGTCTAAACAAATTAATTATTATACGAGTAGCAATGTTAACAATTTGTAAATTTGTTTTTTTCTCAAAATGTATTTGTATATTTTAACATTAAACTTTTTTTAAGTTTAACTGGCAAATTCATTTTTGTTATTTTTTATGGTTATTCTAGCTCTTATTGTCACTGATGAGTAACCATAGCAACTTAACTGGGTAATTATAATACTGTTGCTGTTGAAATCAATATATGACACATAAGCATTTTTTGCTACAGGATGCAACTTAAAGGAAATCTGTACGGCCATAGCATGTGTATTCAAAAGGTTTGAGTCTGAACTATACACTAAATATATCTAGTTGAAATATTTACTTAAAAATGTCAAACAATTATTTGTCATCTGTTCATAAATCTCAGAGCTACCCTGAAAACAGTCAAATCTCAAAATATTAATAAATTTGGTGATAGAAATTAGGATGCTTAGCAACCACATGTTTATACTCTTGTTGCTTGGTAACCAAATGTAAATTAAATTTTAGTGTGATCTATAGTATTTGTTTATCTGTACAGAAGAGACAGACAGCTGAGTGGTGGCAGATAACAATACATGAATACACATAAATACAAGTCTGTAACAGAGAGGATAGATTGGTAACTTTTTACACCAATATTATTTGATACTAGAAACTGATTACATAATATAGAGTACAACTAACTTAAAATATATATAAACATGAACATACAAGTGTTTGTGTTTAATTGTTAACAGCAACTCACTGCAGTTTAAAACAAACATAAAGTGTTTCAAAACATGTTTTTAATATTATACCATATATCCCCTAAGACAAAAAAAATCTGCACTTCTACAGTTGCTCAGAAGGTTGGTTTTAAATAGTTCAGGTAAATGATTGACAATCATACACCATGTGTAAGGGTTAGGGGTTAAGTAGAGGGCTTGAATCAAAGACATTTGTGTTGATTCTATTTCGCTAAGGTATTCTTGAAGGCAATTTTAGCCTTGAAAATGGAAACCCTGAACTGCAAATGTCAAGTCATTTATAACAATTAGCAAATAATTATGAATCATCTGAGTCACTGTAGATGAACCCCAAACAAATTCTGAATACCTTATTCACCCAAACAATATTGAATATTTTATATGATGTAATATTATAATTACTGTGGCCGCGAATTTGTTTCATACACCTAACTAGCAATATTAACTTGATTTGGAGGCAACATGACATGGAATACAGCTGTATGTTCAGCCAATTACTGTAGCTGATGATAATTGCAGGTTTGGTGTATGAAACAAATCCTAGGGTTAGGGTGTATGAAACAAATCTGAGGGTTAGGGTGTATGAAACAAATCAAAGCCACAGTAATAAAAGATCAACATGATGTACTATATACATATATCGTGGCATTAATCATGATGGGTGTACAAGTAATATCACAGACTAGATCAGCTCACATACCATTCTACAATTGATATGATCTCATCCTATCCATTACAAATGGTGGAATATCATGATGGACTCATCATAAACAGTGAGTTGATATAGAGGGAGGGGGGACGCAAGCATTGCAAAAAATATTACTATGACTGCAAACACAAACATGAGTAAATTATAAAAAATGGATCAATTGATTTTAAAATCAATAGGTGGTCGCTGTGGAGCACAGTGATATGAATTTTAATTTATGAAACTGTGTGTGGTAAAAATAAGAATTTATTAGTATTAAAAATTTCAAAGGTACCTTAGAGAAATTAAATAGACTACTATTGTAATAATATATAG